ATGATTAGGATTCTCTGTCTTGATAAATATGAAAAAAGGAGAATTAAAATCTGTGTGTTGGGGCTGGAGCAATAGCACAGCGGGTAGGGCATTTGCCTTGCACGCGGCCAACCCAGGTTCGATTCCCAGCATCTCATATGGTCCCACTGAGCACCGCCAGGGGTAATTCCTGAATGCAGAGCCACGTGTGTGACCCAAAAAAGCAAAAATAAAAAAGCTGTGTGTGTATATGTGTATGTATAAAATGGCTGATCAGAAACCCTAGGTCTGTAGAATCTACACAATTAAATGTTTAGATGCCTTCCTCAGTTTTTAAAAGAAGTGGATTTTATTCATATCCATTCTGGAAATCCACATGAACAGTTAGGACAGGATTGTCAGATTCAAAAACCTAGTCAGTATCATCTCCAATTTGCTCTGCAAATTGCAGATTCAGCAATTTTTAATCAATGAGTATCTCTTCAAAGGACTTAAATGGTGTAACCACATTAGTAGTATTAGTACTACTAACAACCTAACTGACAGGGAGACATGTTGCTCAATATAAGAAGCCCTTTCAGTGCATCCATACTATTTAAATCTTTCCAGTATGAATACATTCACTTCCTTACAAAGCAAGTCACTGAATAAACATGTATCTCTTTAAAATAAAGTTTTAAGTTATATATTGTTTGTACATTCCAATAAATATAATGTATGCTCAAAATTTTTATCTGGAGACAAATATAGGCTCTATTAGATTTAATGTGCAATAAGATTTTATGCCTCTTCTGTGTTTTTCTTTTCGCCAATGGAACATATGGTATGTGGAGGTGAGTAATTACTTCAGCTCTATTTTTGTTTTAACTATACAAACCCAGAAGAGCTCTGTATTGGGTACACATCCATGTGAGAATTTTTATTTTATATACAACTTCTTTTTGTTTATCTTAAAAGGCCATCAAACCTTCCATTTATTTAATGAAAAATACCTTCTAGAGCTTTCTGTTTATGTAGTGGACATCTACTTGCTTGCCTTAAAACATCTTTCCCTAGAGAAGAACAATAACTATAATTAAAATATCCCCATTTCCACTCCAATTTCATCATTACTGAGTGATGAAAACTGACATTTTTGTATTATACTATTTCCTTGTCTATGGTAATTGGTCTGGCAATGGACTCTTAAACCAAGCTGAGTCGATCAATGGAGTTTCCTCAGGGACTTTGCAAATTCAAGTCAATGCCCTCTGCCACTTGGGGAAAAGGCCTGGAAAAAAAAAAGAGTCATGCAAGTTAACCTGTAAAAGAGATTGAGATGAAAGATCAAGGGACTTCTCACAGCTCCAGTCCTTGAGGTTTCCAGGGCTATCCAGTTTGAGTTCAGATAGCATGAAAGAACCAGAATCAATATTGAAACTCAGATCAACTAGTTTCTAGTTTGGTAGCATAGGCAATTTTTTTAAATTTGGGAAATAGGATTATTTGGTTTTTTTATTTGATAATAAATGTGTCTAACATAAAAACGAGATTTTTTTTTCTAATCTAGTTCCTAACTGCTGAACAAGTACCCACTGTATTATCTCTCTGACCCAAGACATCATTTCTTCTAGCAACATAACTAGCATAGCCTTTAAGCATATAACACTTTGCTCTCATCTTCACTAAGAGTTAATGATTACTAGTTTTTTCTCTTCTTTTCTTTAGATTTTTGTTTTGTTTGGTGGGGTGAAGTTGCAATCCTTGTGGTGGGCGGGACTTCTAGTTCTTTTTTGTTTTGTTTTAGGGCCACACCCTACAAATATAGTGCTTACCCCTGGACCTGTGGATCATGATCCGGCTTATGGATCACCTATGGCAGTACTCAGGGATCATGTATGTGCCAGGGATCAAACTACGGTTAGCTGCACGCAAGGCAAGTGTGTTCAATCTTGTTTATATCTCCAGTCTCCAAGTTAACCATTATGTAAGAGGGGACCACACATATACATCTCACCAAGCTTCTGCGAACAGAATGCCCAGCTACTTAAAAAGGGGTTCAAATACATGTAGGAGAATTCTTACCTTGTAGCTTATGCCCCAAAGCTTAGTGCTTTAGAATACAAAGTATTAAATAATGAGAGTTCTCAAGGCATGCATATGAAGTGTACTGCACTTGATAAGTATGAGATCAAGAATACCCTTTCTTCACTCTAAGGTTATATATTTCTATAAACAAAACACTGTCCTCTCGTTGTTCATCAATTTGCTCGAGTGGGCCCAGTAGCGTCTCCATTTTGAGACTTGTTGTTACTGTGTTTGACATATCGAATACGTCATGGGTAGCTTGCCAGGCTTTGCCGCGCTGGCAAAATACTCTCGGTAGCTTGCTTGGCTCTCAGAGAGGGACAGAGGAATCGAACCTGGCTCGGCTGGACTGGCTGCACACAAGAAAAATGCCCTACCGTTGTGCTATTGCTCCAGCCCATATTTTCGTAGTGAACGGATATTTTACTGAGTCATGCATACTACTTAAGCTGAAATTCTGACTCTTGGGACAAAAGAAAGAATACAGGGTAAAGGCAATTATCTTGCACTTAGCCAATCCAGGATGGATCCCTGGCACTACATATGGTCTGGGCACTACCAGCTATTCTACCCCCCACAAAAGGAATTCTGAGTCTTTCTCTCTCTAAATATATTATATAAACAAACAATCAAATCTGTCTTGCTTCAGTTTCCTCTTCTGTCAAATTTAGTCATTGACTACCAACCTCTTAGAGTTATTAAGAATTAAGTGACATGATACAGTACTTAGTGCTTGACATAAACTGAACACTTAATAAATATTTCTAGAAGAAAGCCTTATTCATAAAAATAGTAAGAAAAATAGTTGGCGTGTAAAGAATAGCAGACTAAAAATCTTTGATTTTGTTGTGCAGACATTGGGCCACTTCGGTGGACTTTAAATTGGAGATATAATAAGAACACTATTTTAGAAATATTAGTGTTGTGCTAGTATATAAAAGAGATTATAGAGAGAGGCATAAGTAAAAGGACAGAAATGGCAGTTAGATGAAAACATAGGTATAACAAAATGAATATATTCAACATATTCAATTTGAGTTGCAAAGTGACCAAGGAAAGTAGTTAGAAAGCAACTAGAAATGTAGAAAGTGAGTGACCATAAAATTCTCAGCATAAAAGTAAATGATATTAGGAATTACTTAATAAGGGACTTCTTAAGGGTAATGAATAAATTTCCCATTTGATTTAGTTTCTTAAAATGATGATATTTAGATTGATTTAATATGAAATAAAAGTTTTAATATGAAACAAAAGTTGATAATGCAATGATAAATGCAACTCAAAGTAGTTGTTGGGATTCAGAAATTGAAATTTTGTTAGTTTGTGTATTCAGTTATGATGTAATATTGGGAAAAAAGGGGACTAGTTCATGCTAGCCTATGAAAGAATATTTAAAAATGTAAGTTAAAAATGCTGGACTCAGAAAGTGCAAATGGGCACAACATTTTTTAATGGGATGATAAAAAAATTCATCTTGTGCTAAAAATATCAGTAGACGGGTTCATGAGAATTGTTTCTAAGGTCTAGGAACTCAAGTGAATATATTTTTTAACTAGCACCCAAGTGGGGTAAAGCATTTTTTATCTATTATGGAGTGTCTTAGGCAGAAAATAAATGTTTATTAATTAAGAACTCAGTTTTCTAAGTCAAATAAAATAGTAGACTAAATAATGATTCGGGGCTGGAGTGATAGCACAGCGGGTAAGGCGTTTGCCTTGCACGCAGGCAACATGGCCAACACAGATTCGATTCCCAGCATCCCATATGGTCCCCCGAGCACCGCCAGGAGCAATTCCTGAGTGCATGAGCCAGGAGTAATCCCTGAGCATCGCCGGGTATGACCCAAAAAGCAAAAAAATAAAATAAAATAAATAATGATTCACCATGATTTTATATTCAAACACTCCCAATATTCCCAATGGTATTTTAAACTATATAGGAGTATTGATTAAATGCCTATTTTATTTGAAGTATTAAAATTTCACCCATATATATCATTAATGATTGTATAAGCTTGTACAAAAATTATTTTTTGAGCCAGTCCAGATCTGTGTACTTTAACTAAATATTAACAATTAGGTCTATTGTTTTATAGAACTGAGTTGAGTTTCAATTGATATGTGAAGCCCTTGAAGATAACTGTTCTGGAAAATACTTTAACTGGCTTCAAAGTATTACATGAATATGAAAAAATACATTATTCATAATTACAGTGTTTAAAATAATGACATATATAGTCTGTGCTCAAATTTGTTTCATTTTATTACCCTATAAGGAATTGGAATATTCGTTAATATCAAGCATCTCACTATTCTGATTCACTTAACAACTACTTGATGTTCTTCATTATGTACCAGACATTCTTCTCATTGGGGCAGAATCGTTTCAAGGGCACACAAGAAGGTCTCTGCCTACTGGAGCCAGCAATCTAGTGGGGAAACAATATAAAGCATAAAAGTGCAGTAGAGAAACCCCAGTAAAAGTGACAGGATAGGGAGTCAGAAGTGGTGAGAAGGATGAGTATTTTTACTGAGTTGATTCTTGAGAATTAAATGCTGGAGCTGACTCTGGCTAAGGAGGTGAAGCTACTGTGGATAAAAATCCTTCAGAGTTACAAATATATTTGATCATTTAACATGATATCTTCTGAATGCACAGTTTTTAAAAACATAGTTGTGAAATCAATTATTTGAGATTTCCAAACAACTTTTTCCAAGTAATATATTGGCTTAAAATCAGACTTGGAGGCCAGAGTGATAGAATAGCTAGTAGGGCGTTTGACTTGCACACCGCCAACCTGGGTTCTATCCCCAGCATCCCATTAAGTCCCCCCAATACAGAAGTAATTCTTAAGTGCAGAGCCAGAAGTAACCTCTGAGCATCTCCAAAAGGCAAAAAACCAAACAGGCCTGACCTCTTTGCAGTATTTTACTCATAAGTAAAATGTGTAGCTAGTAATTACTTCAATACACATACTAAAATTGTAATGATACTACAAAGACTAGCACGGCCTCTGCACAACTATGACACATACATACACGAAGCATTCCATATTAAAAACAAAACAGAACAACAACAAAAAAATCTTTGTCATGAGATATGGCAGTAGCAATGGGCGAAAGCCTTTATTTTACTGAAACACACAAGTTTGCAGTTGCCATTCATATATAGAAGTCTTCTGTTGTAAAACTTCTGCCAAGTTAGAGGTTGCCTGAAGTGACAGCGTTGTTTTGGGGGAATGAGACACTGATTTTTCTATGCCTTGAGATTAGTCAGGACTTACAGAGCTGGGGGTGTTAGGAGAATGGTAGAGTGAGTAGGCCACTTGCCATGCATAGGGCTGACCTGTGTTCAATCCCCAGCAGCTCATACATTTCTTGATCTATGATAGGAGTGTTCCCTGAGTGCAAAACCAGGAGGAAACCCTGAGAACTTCTGAGTGTGACCCCCCAAAACAGAAAACAAGCAAAAATATTTGAGGGAGGGAGGGCTGGAGAACTAGTACATGGGTTAAGACACTTGCCTTGCATGCAGCCAGCCCTGATTTGATCTCTGGCATTGCTTATGGTTCCCCAAGCAACACAGATGTGACCCTGAGTTTAGTGCCAGGAATAGCCTCTGATCACTGTTGGGTATAAGCCAACTCCACCTCCCTCCAAATAAAGGATTAATGTGTCTCATAGTCTTCTTTACACTTGGTTTCTGAACATCCATTGAACTCAACTCTCAAACTAAAAGTACTCTTGCCTTGCAATCAGGATATTGAAGTAAAGTTTTGTGTTTGTTTTCTGCAGGACAAAATTTATTGCAGTTTTCCTCAGTCCTTGAAAATCAATACTTTATAGAGACTCTTAATGTCTGGGGCACTTTATCAGAGAAATTATATATGAAAGAAGTATTTTCCAGAGAGAACCAAGCTATACTGCATCTTTCTGGTTACCACCCACAGCATTGCCATTCTCTTGTTTTGTGAAGAATTAAGCTTTTTGGTTCCTGATGCTTACTATTTTACCCAACAATTTAGCATTGCCTGTTGAAATATTCATTTATTTTGTAAATTATTTAGTCTTAGTTAAATAGGATACAGAGGATTAATCTTGCAATTTAGATAATATCCAGCTTAAGGTTTAAAAGATCTTTATAATTTCTGAAGATTATCTGGATTGCTTTTCAGGAGAAGTATCAAACCAACAAACGTTTTTAAATGATTCCTCTGATATAGTGGTAAACTGATTGTGAAAACAGGTGTATCAGATTACTGCTGAGCTGGTCTTCTGATTTCATGTTGCTCTTTTGCTGCTGGTAGTATATGATCCATGAAATTTTAGGTGCAGAAAATAATATTTGATTTGTGAAGCCCCATGTTTGAATAAAACTAGGCAGATGTCAAATGTTACCAGTTTAGAATGTGAACTCAACAGTGACATCTTGCTGATTCTCAGAATTGATGCAGGGTGAAAAAAATCATTGCAGTGAAGTTTTACAAACCATTACAGTTGTGGTTAATACTTGTTTTGTTGAGCTCCATTTGTCATATAGAAAAATTGATTTCTGAAAGTATTTTGAAGATGTTGATGTAACCTATACTTATAAAATACTTTGCTCAGTACATTTCACATGTAGAATTATGGACACTTTTTAGGGGGCTATTCCTGGTATTTAAGGACTATTTATAATAATATTTGAACACCATGCACTGCTGGGAATCAAACGTGGGACATCAGCATGCAAACATGTACTCCAGTCCTTTGAGATAACTTCTTTGTTCCAGATTAATGATCATTTTTGAGGGTGTGGCTGTCAAAATTTAGAGTGAGAAATAGAGGTGTTCCTTGGTTGGTTGTAAATTTTCTTTTTATAGATTTACAGTGGCCTTTCATTATTGAAGTAGGGTTAAGGAATTCCCAGCTTGTGAACTGTTGTTTATGGCTGGTTTTATCTAGCAATACTAAGGCTTTATGATTTGTGAAGAACCTCTTTCATACTGAAAACCACGAAGCTTTTGTGTAATGGAGTTTGTAGGATAACTTGAAAGATGATTGGATATAAAAGGAATCTTAGAGTTAAGAAAAGACTTTTCCATCCCAACTCTGATTTTACATGTGATTATTATCCTTAACAACATAGTAACTTGTTTAGTAATATTTTAGTGTCCAAAGAGAGAAAATGCCTAACTCTGGATTATATAATCAGCTAAGATCAGCTAAGAATAGAATGAAAAAAGTATTTTAAGTCAGTGAACTTGGTATATTTTTAATCATTTATTCTCTCAGACTTCCTGTTGCCTCAAAACCTGTCTCCATATTCAATTCTCTACTCTATACTAATTATACTTGTGTATAATGATGTCATACTTTCTTATTTCATGATTATAAGTAGGCTTGCCCTGAGTGCATTGCTTCACCCTTTTTATATTCCAGCACCAAGGACAGGGCCTGGCTTCCACAAAAATGCCCACTCTTCAGTATGTGTGATTTGCTTTAAAATATCTGGAAACTGGGGTTGGAGCCATAGCACAGCGGGTAGGGCATTTGCCTTGCACATGGCTGACCCAGGTTCGATTCCCAACATCCCATATGGTCCCCTGAGCACTGTCAGGAGTAATTCCTGAGTGGAGAGCCAGGAGTAACCCCTGAGCATCACCGGGTGTGACCCAAAAAGAAAAAAAAAACTCTGGAAACTGATTCCCATGTCCCAGCCAGAGAAAATAATTCAAAATAATGAGGAATTTAAAAAATCAATACCAGTGGACTGGAGAAATAACTCAAAGAGCTTTGGTGCAGATGCCTTATATGCAGAAGTCTGAAAACCTGTGTGTGCCTCTGCCTGAGCCTACCTCAAACTCTGTTGGGGTGGCTCTGGTACCCCCAGCACTGCTGTCTTGATCAGCATGGGGAAAAAGCTTACCAGAAGCAGCCTCTAGACATCCTGAACTCTTCCTTGGGAGAGACTTCCCAACCCCACCCTCACCCCCTAAGCAACTAATACACTTAGGCTGAAAGATTGATTATTCATAGTTCCAACACTACTCCTTGTCCTTCTCCTTCACATGACATTGTCCCTTTCCCTCACATAAAATAATAGAATACAACTTTTACAACATGTATCTGGGGTGGAAGTGGGGTGGGCACACCCAGCTTCACTCTATGCTCTGTGCTAGGAATGACCCATGGCAGTGTTCAGGGAATTATGTGCAGTGTGGGAATTGAATCTGGACATATCACAGACAAGGCAAGATTTTTTACCTAATGTACTATTTATCTTTTTATAAAAAAATTTAAGGAGGATCTATGTGAAAGGAAAATGAAGGTAGTCAGGAAATGTTTTATGACTATTGAGGAAAAGGGAGAATGAGAGTTTGTCACTGTCACTGTCACTGTCCTCCCATTGTTGATCGATTTGCTCAAGCAGGCCTAGTAATGTCTCCATCGTGAAACTTGTTGTTACTGTGTTTGGCATATTGAATATGTCATGGGTAGCTTGCCAGGCTTTGCCGTGCGGAGGAGATACTGTCGGTAGCTTGCCGGGTTCTCCAAGAGGGGCGGAGGAATCAAACCTGGCTCGGCCGGGCCGGCTACGCACAAGGCAAATGCCCTACCACTGTGCTTTCGCTATTTGACAATGTTTTATTGAGATATATTATTATCTTATTCTCTATGTAAGTATGGCAAAAGATCAGCTTCCCCAATTATTAGCAGATTCATTGCTACATGCCTATTATAAACTTACATATCAACTGCATCACATCACAGATTTACAATTTTTTGTGCCTTTTCCACTAACAGTCTGCCCATCACAAGATGAACCTCAGACCTGTTGATAGGTTGATAAGCACCTGAGTTAACTTGAGTGTCAGTCACTATTTAAAACATGGAAAAAATTACAAACCAGCTTCTGCTATGACTAACCATTTTTATAATGAGAAAAACTTTGCTCTCAGTCCTCCTTATTCAGCTATTTTGAAATCAGTTATGCATTGAACAAGGCAATTTACATTTTGCTAAGGCATGTGCATGTGGGTTTCTTCAGTGAATATGAGATGAGGATCTTATGTGTGTAATTTAAAGTATATTTGGATTAAAGATACATTTTTCATCACCACGGTAACCAAAGAACCCCAATCCAGGGTGAGAACTCAGACTGTCTATAATTCCACAATAATAAAGGAGCAAGTGCATGAGATTATGATATTTCTGGACATCATAATATGAATGAATGCTGTGTCTGTGATACCTCCAACTCATTATTTTAAGTTAAAATGTATAAAATTAATGTACTTATGTGAAAAAATCGTGTATGTAGGTACAAATTTGTCAGTTAATAAATAGTTCTCTTAGGTGTTTCAAATATATCCTAGAATCCTCAAGATTTGAAAAATTATATAAGAATGAAATCTTATTTATTTTCCATTGGTAATCCACACATGAATTACATCTCCCTAAAAAAATACAAACATATCAAATTATCTGGTGGAAGATATTTCTGAGTGAAATTATTTAAAATAAACATAGTTTTAGAGTGAATAGTGGTTCATTTTGTTGGTTTTATTGTTGTCATTGAGAGCAATACCCAGTGTTTCTCAGGATTTACTCCTGGCTTTGCACTTGTGGCATGGTTGGGAAACTGTAAAGGATGCTAGGGATGAAACCTGATATACCATGTTCAAGGCAAGTGCCCTATCCACTGTACTATCTCTCCAGCCCCAGAGGTGACCGACTCCTGACTACAGAGATTAAAGGACTCTTAGGGTCAAGTTGTGTTATTTATATATTCCAACTTGAACTTGAATTTGCCATACAGATTTTCCTACCTGGTGTTTTTTCATTGTCTTAAATAACTTTCAGTTAGGCTTCTATATTTTGTTAACCTCTTAAATTTATTTCTTTCTTCAGCTAGCAAGTTTTTCAAATGATCAGAAAATGCAATACTTGGCATAGGTCTCTTACTTTGAAATTTCCTAATATTCTTACGATTTTTATGATGTCAGCAGCAAAGTATACTATTTTAGGAAACAGAGAAAAGTTATAGCAAGATGTTTCAATTTTGGAGACTTGAAAC